AAATCTTGAAGTCTGTATGAAATTGGAGGTAGTTTGAGGATTAAATTTTTTATGCTTTTTAAGCTCAAAAGGGAGGGTCTTATTATACATGAGATCGTATTATACATGAATAAATACTGTAATCATTGGCTGTACCTCTATAACCCACTTCATGATGTTCAAAGAACCAACAGAAGAATGGCTGTAGCTCAGTCAGATTTACAGATGTTGGCCAAAAATATAATGTGGTCACAGTTATTCAAACCAAATCTGTGCATGATATTTCTCAAAGTCTAACTGTATTTTACAGTGACTACAACTCAGTCCTTTCTAAACACAAGATGATCTATAATGGTGGCACAAAAAGCGACAGGAAATCTCACCTTTAATTTAAGAACAGTTCTTGTTATTGGCACAGCAGTTCCGTGGCTCTCACGTGGTCGACTGAATGTCTTTCTCTGCTGAAGACCGAAAATGCACCACAAACAGTCTGGATGCAAGCTTGTGTTGAAGAGATAAGACAGTCAGCCCCTGATAGACTGACCGCAGTAATGGCATCCACATCATGGGAAAAGAGGGATGAAAAAAACAACAGAGTAGTGAGTAAAAGAGACTAAAACAGGTTGAGAATGAAATAGCCCTCCTGATGAACCTTGATAGGATTTTGCAGCTGCAGCACAGCGGCGATGACCCTTGCGCACGGCTCGACAAATAGCAGCGTCCCCCCTCCCTCCTCGTTGGCCACCTTCCACCCCCCCTTCCTTCCAGCCTTCCTCTCATCCTGAACACTGCACATCTACAGAGTCTCTAACTGGTTGTAACGACCTGAGAGGAACCTGAGTGAAACTATTTTCATTGATTGAAACGCAGGTTCACCGTTCTCTCTCCTTAAGAAGAGGTGGGCGAGCAGAGGGAGAGTAAAAAAACACACGTTAAGGTGTTTTATATGGGCAGTGCATATTCAGTGAGTGAATGCAGGTGTGTGTGTGTGTGTGTGTTTGTGTGTGTGTGTTATGAGAGGCAGATTGAGCGCTGTAGCTCGGGCCCTCTGCTGACTGAGTTGCTCTCACCAGAGAATTGATTTGGCCTCCGAGAGGATCTGTAGCTCTCTCTACAGAGCTGAGAGAGGCTGGGGCGGGGAGGTGTGTGTGTGGG